TTGAATAGGCTCTCAAAATACAACATCATGATAAAGTTCTTATTTTTCTGGTATGTGAAATTTCCTGGGGAAAAATCTCAAGTCAGTTACTGTGAATGCATCCTTGTATTAGGAGAGAGGGAGAGAAGTGAAGAGAGAGCAGAGGAAAGATGGAAGGAGGGAAGAAGAAGAGGAAGGACACAGGGAGAGAGGAAGACATGTGGATATGGGCAGATAGGGATAGAGATGAGAGAGAGAAATACAGTCATAATAAGAGATAATGCTTACTGCTGTAATTGCTGCTGTCAGGGAGTTAATCCCCATGGCCCAGGATCTGTCTCATTACCTCCTCAGGAACTGTGAAATTCTAGGAGGTTAATGATATTTTTTTAAATTCTGGTAACTGGATCTCATTTGATGTTCATCTCATTGTTCTGTTTTTCTGAGTTCCAGGATTTTGGTACTAGATTTTCCGCTAAACATGTCCTACAGTAGTAGCTCACATGGATAAATATGACTATGTGTAGGGATCGTCTCTGAGATTATTACATGCATTAACATAGATTTCCCCAAATATGTATAGCTAGATAATAGTGTTAGTACTTTCTCAGAGAGAAAACTTAGGAACATATAGCAAACCTGCCAAAAGTCACTGAAGGAGCTAACTCCTAAGGGAAAATCCTCTTTAGCCTCCTGGGAGTCCTAGTTCTTGCTCATCAAAGCCGTAGCTGATGCTCAGAATTTTATGACATGCTTATAGAATGTGTGCTCCAAGAGGGAATCTTATTACCCATTATATTTTCTGAACTGAAATCACTGTTTAGAACACGTGTAAATAAGTGAACACATTTGCATTCTTTCTTGAAGGCCATCTTGTTAGCAATGGAAATTACCTCCCTGTGTTTAGTATGAGACTAATTTGAGATTCAGACTGCAAAGTGAGCAGTTTGTCTGAATTTGGATGCAGTCCCCTGGAAAAAAGCATGCATGTTATGTCTACCAGGTAAGAATCTCAGGACTCTGACATATCCTTCTCCCACCATTCCCAGCAGGAAGATGGCCATGAAGAGAACCAGAGCAGTGTGTCTGAGTTCAACCTCCTGGGGCTCCCCATCCAGCCAGAGCAGCAGGGCATCTTCTTCACCCTGTTCCTGACCATGTACCTGACCGCGGTGCTGGGGAACCTGCTCATCATCCTGCTCATTAGGCTGGACTCTCGCCTCCACACCCCCATGTACTTCTTCCTGTGCCACCTGGCCTTCTCTGACATCTCCTTATCATCTGTCACCATCCCAAAGATGCTCAGCAACATGCAGACTCAGCACCTGTCCATCTCTTATGTGGGGTGCATCTCTCAAGTGTATTTTTTCTTGCTTTTTTTTTTTGCAGCTGTTGACATTTTTCTTCTTGCAGTGATGGCGTATGACAGGTATGTGGCCATCTGCCACCCACTGCATTACGTGGTTTTCATGAGGTAAAAGCTGTGTGACTTATTGGTGACTGGATCTTGGCTCCTCTCTTGTATGCGTGCTCTGCTGCATACCCTGTTCCTGTCCTGCCTGCCCTTCTGTGCTGACAACACTATCCCCCACTTTTTCTGTGATCTCCGTGAGCTTCTGAAGTTGTCCTGCTCATATACCTCCCTCAACGTGCTACTCATCTTAACTGATGGAGGAGTGGTGACTGTCCTGCCACTGGGTGCTATTTTCGACTGTTATATCTGCATTGGTTTTACTGTCCTGAAAGTCCCCTCCACTAAGAAGATCTGCAAAGTTCTCTCCACCTGTGGATCTCACCTCTTATTGGTGTTTTTGTACTATGGGACTCTTGCAGTTATTTATTTCTTTCCTTCCTCCAATAATTCCCAAGTGAAGAATGCAATTGCTTCAATAATGTATACAGAGCTGACACCCATGCTGAAGCCCTTCATCTACGGCCTGAGGAACAGAGACATGAAATTGGCTCTGGGGATACTTTGGAGAAGGGTTAGTTTAAGCAAGTGAGTGTTATGTATTCAAGGTCTTTATTACCCTAGAGATGCTTCCAGAGATACTCCCTTAAAACTGTATGCATGAATAGAGTAAATTGTGGAAATGACCACAACAATCTGCACTTTTTAAATTGGGAGTTTATTTCCTCACTCCTTGAATATGCGCAGATCTTGTGACTTGATTTTACTTACAGATTTGCTGGAAGTGCTTATGAGATGCGCATGCTTAGGTGGACTTTGTCCCTGCTGTACATGTAATTATGAAGTCACCATGTAAGGTAGCCTAAGGTAGTGTGTGTGAAGAGGAAAGGCTACCGGAGGACGGCATCGATGCTCCAGGCAGCATTTAGCCAGCACAAGTAGATCTAATAAGGGATTTTATGGCACTGATGAGTCCTATTTGAAATTATCTGAACTCAGCCAAGTCCAGAAGACTGGTCCATCTAATATAATTCCAGGTCAAATTGCCACACTATAGAATTATTATGAAATGGACATTTTGATTGCGTGTTTGAGGATAATGTTTTTGTATCATAACGTAGCTGATGCACTGGTACAAGTAGATCTAATAAGGGATTTTATGGCACTGATGAGTCCTATTTGAAATTATCTGAACTCAGCCAAGTCCAGAAGACTGGTCCATCTAATATAATTCCAGGTCAAATTGCCACACTATAGAATTATTATGAAATGGACATTTTGATTGCGTGTTTGAGGATAATGTTTTTGTATCATAACGTAGCTGATGCACTGGTTTCCTATCA